CATGTGGTTAAAACCACTTCATCGAATCCTCCATGAAGAAATTTCATGTTTATGAAAATGCTTAAAAATGAAATGTAGATGCACAACGCAAAATGAAAAAAATGCATGAAATGTTCGATGCATTGATCCAGAAAAGTGTCCATTATTATAAATAATCCTTATTTCGACAAAATTGTTTTATCTTGTAAGAGACATAAAAACAATCAAAGGTACATTCGGACTAAATCCTCTAGACCCCGAACAGCTTCCAACAGGTTGACAAGTCTTCTGTTTTCATTTTTCACTGGTTGTATACCTTGTTGGACCACTCCAGTTTCCCTTGCTAGGCCGTGTGGATGGCGAGCTACCTTTTGTACTTGATCCAGAAAGTCTCGGATGACTGCGTCTCTAGCCTTCACCCTTTGTTGTGCTTGCTCCCAATGGAAACGCCACTGTAAACATCCGTCGAATGGCACTATCTGAAGCTTGCTTGCTTGCTTCTTGAACCCATCTACAATAGCTTCTAACTCAGCTATTGTTTTGCCATCTCTCTCATGTTGTTTCTCCAGATCTGACATTCGAATTCTCAAGCATTGGTTTTGATGCTGACTGCCTACTAAGTGCCTCTGGCAGTCTTCATCTGTTCCTTCCAAGCTCTCTCATTCCAGTATTTAGAAACCACTTTCAACTTGGAGTTATTCTTGACTTTATCTTGATACCCCTTTCTCAAGTCTTCGAGCTCTAAACGGACTCTTTTTTGTTCTCTTTCTAGTTTATCTGCTCGATCTTTCTGAGAGCCGGCATCTAGATTCCACTGATAGCGCTCAGCCTCAAGTTCCTTTATCCTCTTCCCCAGCTCATTGTTCACAGCTTCAAACTCTGTTTTGGCTATCTCAAGTCCAGAAGGGACGGGCCTGAGATGTTCCTCCATGGTCCGGGTGTCCTCACAGTCTGGCACCGAAATATTGTCATTTTCCCTCAATCTTCGCCACTCCACATAGTCTGGAGCAAGCATGTTTCTGGCAGCTACCACATCCATCCGGAATACTTTCTTCCATGAATCGACTACTTCCTTGATCATCTTCTTATAGTTGTCACTGTGATACTCAAACTCTGATTTAGCTAGTCTGCATGTTGCTGGGACAAACTGACGTGCCCCATAATGTCTAAGTGCTAACAATGGAGCATACCCAACTGCATCCCAAAGTTCAGGTAAGGTCATAGTGTCAGAGTCCCCACATTGGAAAAGAACGTCACTGAGGAACAAGCAGGGGGCTCTCCAAGTAATATCTCGGTCTTGATAGATGAGTGAAGACTTTCATCCACTTCTCTTTTGAAGTTCCTTCATGCCATTTCATGGTGATGAAATCTCTCAAAGGTGAATACGTAGTGCTAAATCGGCTGTAGGCAACCCAATTAGTCTTCCAGAAGTGGCTGTGAATCCAGACTTGAAGGAGCTGAACACATCCAATGAATCTACCTCCTCCAGCTCTTCGGCAATGGTTGAGAGACCGAAAGGTCTCGGCTAAGATGGTTGGTGCTGGGTTGACTCGTTTCGGAAGTTGCTCAAATAGTTCCACCATAGCTAAGTCAATGCATCCCAAAATCTTCGGAAAGATGATCAAGCCGTACAGACCTAGTGCAATAAAGGTCTATAGTCTTCCATTCATCAGGGTGGTCATTCATTAGTTTCCTTATGTGGATCACTGAATTCCTTACCCGTTACCTTTGTTTCGGAGTCGGTCAGTCACCCACTTTTCATCAACTCCTGCAATCTTAGCCAGTCTGTTCTTGAAAGGCTGACTCTTGATGTGTTTGATATAGGCTCGCTCCAGTTTAATGCTTTCACAGTGCAATAGTGTAGTATACTCCTTGATGGTAGGTACCATGTCCTCTTGGTTAAAAGTGAAGCAATTGTATCTCGGGTTTCATAATTGAACCAAGGCTCTTATTAAGGGCTCACCGGTCTTAACATGAAGCAAAAGTGCAATGTCGCCATACCGCTGACTGAACTTCTGTTTTCGATCATTCTTCCAACTATCCCAGATGTCTCAAAGTTCTTGCACACTGTTTTGTTTTAGTCTGATAGAGGCATGGCTAACAAGCTCTGACACATAACTTCCTTGAAGACTGTCTCTTTTTTCTTTCTGAGTCTTCTAGGACCATAGTCGTACCTCGGGGTTTTTAATCTCCTGTATTACAACACCTTTGTCCATTAATGCAGCTTATTTATGGTTAACGAACACGTTTTTTAGTGGATCAACACCTCTTTTGAATGATGCAGATGATGGAAATAAAATAAAAGAGAGGGAAAAATGAAAAGAGTTAGTAAGGTAAAGATAATAATCAAAGCAATCATGAAAATAAAAGTCCTACCCCACATGATATCTACCCTACATTCTTATTATTCCTACCCGGACATGATCTCTATCCCACAAGTTGATTTTGAACAAGTCCTAACCGCATAAATTTCTAGTTCACATGTTTTGAACAGAAAGTAAAGCAGAAAATAATTTCGGTATCCTAGGGTTTAAAATGAGGTTTTGGGGTAGGCCCTAACTCCTTGTAGTCTCCGGGTTTAGGTTCAAAAAAAGGTACTCGAGTTCTCCTTGCCGGTGCCCCCTTGGGCTTACCAGACCCTTAGTCCTAAACCCATCACAGGTTTGTGTGGACTAAGTTAAACTCGAGAGGAAACATTCCCTTATGCCCATACGGAGAATAAATTCACACGAAGGCATAAGGTATATGAATCTCGAAGGTTACTTGCTAGGCCCATACGATGAATAAATTCACACTAAGGCGTCGCTTTCACCCCCACTTAAAATGGGTTCGGAGCTCGGGTATAGAGCCTTTGGATGAAAAATCTTTAAGGGCTGAAATCATTAAAAAACGGTCAGTACAACTATTTACTCGAAAATATAATCAAAAGTAAGTAATAAGGATCGAAATGTTACCTTAAAATTTAAACTTACCCTTTTCATTAAAAAGACAACTGGAAATTACCTTAGCCTGACTCACTTACCTGTGTCTCCAGTGGAGTCGCCAAGCTGTCGTAACCGTCTTTCGGTTGGACCCCGTAATTGGGTTTCGACTTGAAAAATATGGATTGGGAGTCACCACCGATCATTTATTTAAAACAAATGGATTGATCGGATACCCTATTTCTTACATGATTTGCGTCTTTCCAAAGATGTGTCGGGTTCGGGAGTCGGTTACGGTCAAGGAAGGATTAGCACACTTGAACCGCCCTTTCGGTACTACGTAATTTTCAGTTGTCTTTGATTAAGAAAATTGCAAGTTAAATTAAAAGGTAAAATTTGATCCGAATTACTTACCCTTAATGAGTTTACGGAAATACCCTTAAAAATTAAAATAAGATGTTAAAAGAAAATAAATAATAATAATAAAAGAAAGTAACAAAACTAAAGAGTAAACCAAGGAAATAAATGAAACCAATAATAATAAACATAAAATAATTGGATGAAACAAATATTTTAAAAAAATGAAATTGAATAAAATAAAATAAATGAAGAAAAATATATATATACAAAAAAGAATAAAAAAGGTAAAATGTTTTTTAAAAAAAGAAAAATAATAATAAGAGCAAAGAAACTAAAAACATAATGAAAATAAATAAATAATATAAATAAAATAAAATAAATAAAAAATAAAAAATATATATAAAAATATAAAATGTATGTATAATAAAATAAAATACTAAATAGTAACAATAATAATAAATAAATGAAAAATAAATATACATATAATATTAACTAAAAAATAGTAATCATAGAAATATAAAATAAAATGAAGTAAGAATATATATATATATATATATATATATAACGTTAGGAAAATATAGTAACAAAACATAGTAAATAAGTAAACATAGATAAAAAATAATATATATATATATATAATAATAATAGGAAAATAATATAATATAATGCAAAGAAAAAAAATTATAATAAATAAATAAATAAAATATAATTATATATATATATATATAATAAGGGTTAAATTAAAATAAAAAATGAATTAGGGGTCAAAATTAAAAGCCAATCGAAGAAAAAACGACAAAACACGCGGATCCACATGAACCGTATATAAAAATCCGAATAGTTTTTCAAAAACACAAACTTCAGGGACTAGATCTACAAAAATAGATCTCGAAAACTCCCCCGTTCATCGGCCAAAAACACTTATCTCAGTTTTCTTCCGAATCAAAACACAGCAAGGGTAAGGAAAAATAGCATGCGAAGGTATGAACTTTACCTTTCAAAATATAAATGCTTCGAAAATGGCTACGAGTTGCTTTTAATTTTTTGCTTGGTATTTCGTATATCCTCTTCCGAATGTGTTACAATAGTGAGTTACAATGACTATTTATAATGTTTGTGGATTCTATTTTTAGGAGTTTAAATAATAGTATAATTCTATCCTATTTTTAGGAGTTTGAATCCTAGCAAAATTCTAATGTTTTTAAGAGTTTAAATCTTAATAGGACGAAAAGGTGTGTTGACACAATATCAAGATGGTTGATCACAATTGCCTTTTGATTGAAGCAGACATCAATTGTAAAGCTCATATTCCCCCCCCCCCCAATAACTCACAGGTTTAAGCAATAACCATGGAAAGTAGTGTTCTCAAGCCAATTAATTAATCACAGGAGTCTGGCATTTAAAGATAAAATCATATTCAATGACTATCAAACTACAAACAAGTGTTTCTTTGCTCATATTCCCCCCCCCCCCAATAACTCACAGGTTTAAGCAATAACCATGGAAAGTAGTGTTCTCAAGCCAATTAATTAATCAAAGGAGTCTGGCATTTAAAGATAAAATCATATTCAATGACTATCAAACTACAAACAAGTGTTTCTTTGTTTTCGAAATGAAGTATATGGAATGCTTTTAACCTCCATAGTTTTAGTTTTGTCTTTGTTTTCCTATTTACAAAAGGAAGCCATGGGAAAAAAATGCAGAATGCAGCAAACATTCAAAAGTACAGAATGCTTTCCATTAGTGGCGTTCTTGTGGGCTTCCTACTCCACCCAAGCTTTCAAGATATGACTTCTTGGAAGTCACTACATGTAGCTTTTGCACCTGCTTTTCATCAATCTCTTTGGATGGCTCTTCGTTGGATTCTTTGTCTTCCTCGTCAATCTCGAGTTGTTCCGCACTCCATGTAAGTAAGTCTGAGAGGGTCATCAAGTTCCCTTTCTCCTCGTCGTTTCCAGACCTCGTATTTGCCGAATTCGGCAGGTTATTGGATGTTGGTTGATTCGGATTTCGAGCAATAGAATCAGCATAGAGGACATCTCCTATCCTGGACAAGACTGTAAAGGCCAAGCTTTCTAGTATCCTTGAATAGCTCTCTAGGAGAGCTTGTCCGACATCCTGTCATACCAACAACATAACCTTAATATATATACCTGTGCATGTGCGTGTACGTTCGCGACTAGAAGAGCTATAATTACCCGGTTGTACTGGATTTTGCTGATGTCTAATGCAGATTGAGGAATTCCGGGGTACTGGTGTTTGAGAATGCACAAGATAGTCTCGGCTCTCTCTTCAAAGAGTTCTCGCTTTTCGTAGCTAACGCCGGAGCCCCAAGCCAATTTACCGTCCTTCTGGACCATCTTTCTCTTCCATATCACAACAGATGCCTCTATTCTATTCTTGAGGTCTAATATCTTGAGCTCTGATGATAAGTCCATGGTCGACAGAAATTGATTAGGGTCAAAGAGTTCTACTGTGATACTCCTATAGATTGAATCACCAAGACTAGCTCTCCCGTTCTAAACAAAAACACATAAATCAATGGGTTGCTTACGACAGTAGATTCCATGGAAATTATGCAACCTTTTGTATATGTTCATCTTTGTTTTTACCTTCGGGAGGGAGTCGATGTAGTTTTCAGGGATCCCCATCTCCATCAGAACTTGAGCATTGATCGACATTGCCGCTTTGAGCACTTGCGTCACCGATTCCTTCTGGCTCTGCAGGTTTTTTCTCGCCGCATCGGACAAGCCGTTTTCGGGAACTTTAACGGTAGGCAGCCACCATTTATCATCAATTCTTTTGCTGTTCCCTTTCTCTTCATTTGAGGCATCTTTTGACAGGTAATAGAATTCATTTTGGCCTTTGAAAGACTCTAGACAATCCTGACCATTGTAACTTATATTTGATCATTGTATGAGGTACAAGATCATTGCTCAATTTATATCACCATTAAGAGAATCTAAGCTATATATAGAAATATGTTGATATAATATTTGGATTGTAAACGATTGTCAGTAGTTTATTGCCGTAGGTAGTTCATGTAAATCAGTCATCGTTTGAATTTTTTTTGGATAAATTAAATATTTATTCATCTACTTAGTTGAGCAGTTTTATTTTTGATTACTCAATTATTCTTTCTCAAAATTATAACTAACATTACGTTTTAGTTTTATTTTGGTCACCCGTTAAAAAGTTAATAGAAGTTGTAATATTTTTTATTATTTTTCAATGATGACATGATATCAACATATGATAATACATCAGTATCACTGTTAAGTTTTAGCGACATATGTCTATAGAAACGCGCAAATAATTTGATGACTAAACACTCTGATTACCCTTTTAAATATTAAGTGAGATAAGGTATAAGAAGAAGAAGAAGGAAGATTTTGTTTTAATCTTACGTTGAAATTTTTGATAATGACTCTAAGTGTCATTATCAGATACTGGATACTTATAGATCACTTTGTTAAATGGATATAATCGTATAATAATAAATTTAATTTTTGATCGACTGTGGGTCCGTTGTAGATTATGACGAGAAAAAAACTTATGAATGAGGTAGAATATCAAAAGGTTAGCCCTAAGTAATATGATCGACGAAGATAATATTTTATTGTTCCGTTAGAGAATAAGTTTGGAGGAGGTATAGCAACATAACACTTACAAGAAGCATTGAATCAAGTGTCCTAAGGGCAGGAATGTTCATCAGAAGATCTGTTCGTTGCTTAGTGGTCATAATCTGAAAAATCAAACAAATAATATAAATATATAGATATAGATGTATAACTGCAGCGAAGAAAAGGGTAGCAGAAACTAGGGACCTCCATGTTTGATCCATCCTTGTTCTTCTGTTGAGAGGGAACAAGTTCAACAATGCAATCACTTACAGACAAGAGCCAATCGATCTCTTTTCTCCACCTTGCTCTCCTCTCAGCCGTCATCGGCTCCAAGCGCGATTGTTCACCGAACACAGAGGCTAAATGCCGGTGAAGGAATTGCACAATACATTGATGAAACATTGATGAGAAACTTTGTACAGATTAGAACATAAATCCGTTGTTAATTACGGGAAAAGGGACCAGTACCGGCAAGGTTCGTGATGGCATTCGACAGTGCTAAAGCTGATGAAACACCCTTCCCTCCGCCTGACATATCCTCCCCCAGGAGCAATTTAGCGAACTTTTCCTTCATCAGATCCATATCTGAACATAACACAAACACATGGCAGGCAATTAAATCGATTTCTTGGCTAAAGAAGAAGAAAGCATTACGCGAAACTCGCCGGTTAATAGCTGTTTTTCTCTGGCTTCGCATTCGGCAATCAAACTCTCCATGGCCTGCCTCGCCTCGATTTCGTCTTGTTCCGATGACGGTGGATCATCCGGTTGCTCTGATCCCTGGTTTTCATCTGCCACACCTTCATCCTCCGCTGCCTCTTCCGACCCACCACCGCCACCACCTTTGTTGACGCCCGTACTCTTCGAACCCCTCGATTTCTTATCCGATTTACCCCGGAAATTAAACAACTTACTAAGCTTTAAACTGTCTTTTTCTTGTTCGACAGCGGTAACCATCTTTAAGGTTGTCGATATCTTTGACTGTAATTGCTGCATGGTATGTATGTAAGAGGGAAAGATCTAAGAAAAAATTGGGAAAAGAAAAGAAAACAAGTTTTTTTCCCTGAAAATTCCTTCTTCCAAAAGATGTTTGTTTGAGAGAGACGAATTGTGTGTAAAAGAATGGCGATTTTAGTGAGATCGTGTAGGATTTTCCATTTTTGAGACATGGATGAACGTGGGGTGCATGTTTCTGAGACAAATGAAAGGTTCTATTTTCCATGTTTTCTCTCTTTCAAGTAAAATGCTTAACTAATGGTTCAAATTTAATTTCATAGTCAAACCATCGCTAAAAATCAGTCAGATCGTGCTTCCAAAAATCAGATTAAATTTAGAGTAAAATATAGTAACGGTCACTGAATTTTTCTAAAGATTTCATTTATGTCCCATAACTTCTAAAACTTGCAATACAATCCTCCAACATTTAGTATATTTGCAATATGGTCCCTAAACTTTTCAGGCGCTTGCATTTAGGTCTCCTAACTTTTAAAACTTGCAACACATTCCTCAATTTTATTCTAAACCCCAAATTCTTTTTCGATCTCGAATTTCTTTTTTCGCTTCTCTCTTCTCATTTCCAGCTTAACTTTTCAGTATGGAATGCATGGGAAATTATAATATAACTTTGAATTATGTGGAGGTGTTGACTTGAATAAGGGTCTATTGAAAGAAGACTCGACTAAGGGACTATCGGGATCATCAACGATTCAAGGTGTAATGTTCGATACAAGTCATCTCAGGTGAAGCATAGATGTTCGATGAAATGCTTGTGAGAAAAAAATGGAGTTAGAAATGCAGAGTTGACAAATACTACTAATATGAACTAAGTATCATTGTTGAAAGTCACCAATAAAGCTGGAATTATTTTGTATAAATGGCATATAATAATTTCTTTGTTTGATCCTTGTGGTTAAAGATTTTTCAACAGATGATCAAATATAATGAAATCCCAAACAACACATTCACTTCTCAGTCTCTTTCGCTAACATGCACTCTCATTTGGTTTTTGTTCTTCAATTTTAAGCCATGTAAAATTGTAAACCCCAACAGTGCTCTGTCTTTCAGCTTTTTATTTATAAATAAAAAATGGAGGAAAAATTGCTAGAACACAACACCGATTGCGTTTATTTCTTAGCCTCTTCCCTCACTTGCAAGAAGGTATTTATTTTCTCTTTTGGGCTATCCGGAAGTAAGTTTTTTCTCTTTCGCGCTTTCCCATTTTCAGCTCGCAATGTGTGTTTTTTGTTGAAATTTTTATTTTTTATGGAATTCCATGTCAATGATGTGGATATTCAGTGTTAGTTTTGAACCAAAATCATCTAATTTTCTTTCTTTCTTCTTAATCAAAACTTGTAGTACTCTTTATGAAATATATTCAGTCCATCAGAATAGAAGTGAAAGAGGATCCTAGTTTAAATTTGTTTTATCTTCTTGTTTGGTTTTTCTTTAAATCAGGGAATTGGATGTGAGTATCAACATAGTGAAATCGCCAGACACAATCCGAGAGACTGCTAGTACTAGTTTACTGGGAATTGTATTGATCTGACATATGGTTTTAGGCGTCTTGTGAGCTCGTATTCCTTTCAATAAGCTCATGTTGATTATGAGACTGATATATTATGAACGAATTGGATTTTTTTTACATGTTTTGGAAATTTTACATTTGAATTGTATTGAATTATAGCTTTAGAAGACCATTCTACATGCACGCAACTCGAAATGTATCGTGACAAGGTAGTATATTTAGAGCAACTACTTGACCCTGTCATGATGCCTTTCAAGTTGCAAAAGAGACTGAGAGGTGAATGCATTGTTTGGGGTTTTATTATATTTCATCATCTGTTGGAATATCTTTAACCACAAGGATTAAACGAAGAAATTATTATATGTCATTTATACAAAATAATTCCAGTTTTGCTGGTGACTTTCAACAACGATACTTAGTTCATCTTAGTAGTATTTGTCAACTCTGCATTTCTAACCCCATTTTTTCTTAAAAGTATTTTATCGAACATTTATGCTTCACCTGAGATGACATGTATCTAACATTACACCTTGAATCATTGATGGTCCCGATGGTCCCTTGGTCAGGTCTTCTCTCAATAGACCCTTATTCAAGTCAATACCTACATATAATTCAAAGTTACATTAAAATTTTCCATGCATCTCCGACTGAAAAGTTACGTTGGAAATGAGAAGAGAGAAGCGAAAAAAGAAATTTGAGATAGAAAAGGAATTTGGGGTTTATAATGAAATTAAGAATTGTGTTGTAAATTTTAAAAGTTGGGGGACCTAAATGCAAGTGTCTAAAAAGTTCAGTGACCATATTGCAAACATATTAACGACAGTGTAACGGCGGGGACCATATTATAAACGGACTACATGTTGGAGGACTGTATTGCAAGTTGTAAAAGTTGGGAGACCTAAATGAAAGCTTTAGAAAAGTTCAGTGACCATTACTATATTTTTCCCTTAAATTTATTAATATATCATTTTTTTAAATAAAACAAATTAATACTATACGACTTTTTTATAAATATAATTTTTTTTACCAAGATACAGGGGTAGATGTACATGGCTCCCTAAGAGAGTCCTTACACATTCATTATTTTAATAAAATTATTAAAATTAATTTTAGGGTAAAGTACAGTAATGTTCATTGAACTTTTTTGAAGCTTTCATTTAGGTCATCAACTTTTAAAACTTGTAATACAGTCCCCATCATTTAGTTTGTTTACAATATGGTCCCCGACGTTACACTGTCGTTAGAAGACGCTGATGTGACAGTGAGATCACCGTTTGTAGCTATGAAAATTAGGGTAGATTATATAAATGGTCATTGAACTTTTTAGGCTCTTGCATTTAGGTCCCCTAACTTTTAAAACTTACAAAATAGTCATCAATTACATTCTAAACCCTAAATTCCAAAATAATCAAAATAATATTGAGTTAACCAAGATTTCATGTTAACCAAGATTTATATAATTTTTTTAATTTTTTTTATGTTTTGATTGAGTTGTATTCAGTGAAAATTGATTGTTACTGTTCGATTGAGTTCATATGCAATTGAATGGTGGGGGTACGCATATGTAAATGCAAAGGATCATCGATTACCCACTCTCTTATTCTTTAGCGAATGAAGCACCTCATAAGCTGTAATCACATTGTCAGTTTTAAGCCGGCCCGGGACAAAAGCGCTTTGCGATTCATCAATACAAAGATGGAGCACTGCCCTTGCCCTTTGCTCCCAATAGAGTTCTTCCCGATCAGCTTCAAGATTCATGGCCAACTTCAGTAATTTCCCCAAGCACATCAATCGAAAGATTGGACGCGTTTAAATCCTCCCGTCTATTGCTTAAATCTTTCATCGTGTCTTTCTTCGCTTGCATGATGCGTTTGAACCACATTTCAAGCCCCTTACTTCTTTCAGCCGGGTAGGGACCGTATCACTCGAACCACTCCAAAGTCGCTTTACCTCTGCCTCACATGAATCTTCCATAAGCCATGAAGCCTCAAAACAAAAATTCCACATCCTCCTATTTTCGCTTATCTCACCATCAGTAGTAAGCAGATTCGGACAGTGATCTAAGAAAGTGTGTAAGTGACCCACCTGAAAATTAGGAAAAAGCTCCCACCAGCTTGGATGTGTAACCCCACGATTGAGGCGCTCCCACCAGCTTGGATGTGTAACCCCACGATTGAGGCGCTCCCAAATATTATTTGATTCCAACTTGCCTCGTTCCCAAGTAAACCATTGTCCAGAATAGCCCAAGTCTTCAAGGTTGCAATCTGTTAACATCGATCTGAATCCCTCCATTTGTCTCTCATTTCTTGGCAAACCCCCTTACCTTCATGAGAGAAAGCAATCTCATTTAAGTCTCCTATTACAAGCCAAAGGATCATGGGCGAATCATTCAAATGGTGTAACAAGTTGTAGGAGGCCCTTCTATTCTGTTCTTCATGAGCTCCGTAGAATCAAATACATATCTACGTTTTACCAGCTGAATCATCATCAATTAGAAAAATCAATGTGTCGGTCCCAGAAAGACATTAAAGAAATCTGAAAACCACTATTCCAAACAATCGATAAACCACCACTACAGTTATTAGAATCCACATCAATCCCATTTACGAAACCACACTGTTTACGAACTTTAAACATTCTCGTACTCTGCAATTTAGTTTCAATTAGGAAAATTACAGAGGGGTTAACGTCTCGCACCAAGTGCCGGAGACGGCGAACAATCCGAGACTTCCCCAGGCCGCGGACATACCAGCTTAGGATTTTCGTTGTGAATGACGGGCCTGTTTATCAAGGTCGGCTGATAGGGAGATAAAAGCATCGATTGAATCATGATTAGAAACTTCCGATGATGAGTGTTGAATTCTAAGACGTTTTGCCCCATCCACATAAGTTATTGGGCTTTCCTCTCCAGCGTTTGTCATTTCGATATACAAGCCCGCTGGCGTTCCTTCCTGAAATTGAGCTCTAATAATAGGGTCGTTTTTTATTATACTTGCCTTGTTTGTTTTTGTTTCTGAAATTACGTGAACAGCAGAATTAGCACTAGTAGCTCCTTGAATATTGGGATCTCATTTCATCAAAGGCAAGTTTGTATTAATTGTCCCCATTATCACCTGATTTTGTGCGATAGGATCCCACTGATTCTGGTCATTGTCGTTTCCTTCCTCTCGCAACCACCTGCATTTCGGCGGCGGCGCTCGTCTAGGAGGGACACAGAAAAACGATCTTTGTTTTATTCATTGTCAGCCGAACCGGACAAAAACTTTCCCCATGTCCCAATCTTCCACAGATAAATCAAAAAAACTGGATTTTTTCATATGTAAATCGAACATAATGCGATTAGCCACCCGGAATGGCGAGCCGCTTCCGGAGTTTCAAAGGTTTTTTTATATCCAATAGGACCCTAATGCGCAAAATTCCTTTGTAATTCATATTAACAGCAGAGGAATCGTAATCCCTATAAACACCTATGAAGTTCCCCAGAAGTTTGGCAACAGCAGTCGAAACAAATCCTGGAGGGACATCATGAATCTGTACCCACACCTCAATGTCATCCAAGGGGACTGTCATCGGGTTCCCACCCTCTTGTAAGCGATGAAGAATCAACATGTGGGTGTTAAAATTCCACGGGCCTCCGGCCTCAATCTTGTCCATGTCAACGATATAGTTTTTAACGATATTAACTATTTAACGGTGGGATGACTAAAATAAATGTAAAGTTCAATGATCAAAGAAACTAATATATTAAGTTTAGTGAGGAAATTAAACAATTTTAAAATTTAATGAGTAAAATAGGAGAAAATATAAAATTTAGTAATGAAATTTATATTTTACTCAGATTAAAATTGAACAAAGAATAAATTTTAAATCAATATCCAAATGATTAAAATTTTATCATGCCGCATTTTTATTGAAATATCACTCTTACATGCAATAATTATCTGTCAGACATTATTTTCTTAAATATTATCGATCTAGCATCTTTTCTGATATTGTGGCAATAAAGTGTGGATCGTCATCTACGTCTTCGCGGGTTGTGTCAGAGCTGGCGCCACATAAGGGGAAGGCGCCTTCGCAAGATTCTGGCACGTCATGATCTGCACCTTCCATTTTGCACGTTGAATTATTGATACTACATTGTTACTCGAGCCTGAAAACTCAGCTTTTAAATGCTACCTCCTATAAATAACAGGCCATCTGAATGCAAACATCAACACACCAAAATTACTTGCTTATTCTCACTTCTATCAATTTCTTCTATAAGCTAAGTAGATTTTATTATTATTTTTATAAATTAAAATTATTTTTGATTATATTATATTTAGTTTATATTTAATTATTTACACAAAATTTATTGTACTAATTATTTTATATTAATTTTTTACGATTGTAAAATTGAAAAGTGTGATCATACCTCGAGACACTTTGTCGTTACAGTAATAATATGAAATTGTGTTATTTAAATTATTGTGAAAATTTTTAAAAAAAATTGGATTAGTTTATATTTTAATTCATATACTATTTATTTAATTAGGCATATTTCATATATAAGACTCTCGATCTTTCAAAGTCTCAAAATAACGCGTATTTCAGCTATTGTTTACTACAATGGAGAAATTCGGGAAGACGAAATCGGCATCATCTTCACATCAAATCATTTTGTCATAATATCCTTCAAAAGAAACACCACTCTTGAGGAGCTCATCACTAAACTTTCAAGAAAGGTTCATGTTGAAAGTACTAGAAGATTGTCCTCACTTCAGTACACATTTCCAACTGCAGTCTTGTCGTTAACTTATACAGCGTTCGAACTCTCTAACGATGACGATGTTTCTATGATGGTTGATTCTCAGAATCAATATTCAGACGTCGATACACAGATGTATGCAATATTTGTTGAAGTGTTTGCGATTTGTGGTATGCCATTATGCTCTCACTATAGGCTGGCTCAACAAGCTGATCAAGTTGACAACCTAACTCAAGTAATGTGTAATGATTTTAACTCGTTAATAGGAAATCCACATTATGGTGCCATCCCATCAAGTTTAATAGAGAGACATTCATCAACAACTTCTTACGATCTGTACCGAGATGGCTCTATAAACAATCCGTATGAAAATATCGCTTCCAGTTCAAGGGGAAGGCATTCATCTGTGTTGAAACATTTTGATATTTCGATATAACAAATTAAGTTAAATGGATTTTAAGATTTTCCAAATGATTTTCTAAGTATATTCGATATAACTATTCGAATATCAAAACATTACTCCAAATATTTCAAAAATCATTTTTAATCCTTACTTAAGTGTAAAATTAAGTTTTAATCATAAAACAATTTCAAAATAATCTTACAAAGTATTTCGAACCAATTCAAAGCCAAAAATTACAGATTGCTCAGAGGGAACCGATTCCCCCCCATAGGAGGAACCGATTCCCCCTAAATGGTTTTGGCCCCGAGATTTCCAGAATACTCAGAGGGAACCGATTCCCCCCATAGGAGGAACCGATTCCCCCCTAAACAGTTTTGCTCCGAGAATTCCAGTATGCTCGGAGGGAACCGATCCCCCCCAAGGGGGTACCGATTCCCCCCTTATACAACGGTCGAAATATTTGAATTTTACACTTAGGAACCGATTCCTTCAAGGGGAACCGATTCCCCCACGCTCCAAGCTGTTTTATTAAATGTTTTCACACTAAAACGGCTATAATATCTTCTCTAATCATCCCCAACGTTCAGAAGTGATCCAAGGTGTATTTAAGCAAGCTTAGAAGCCATTGATCAAAAACAAGAAACATCAAGCAACTAGAATCAAGAGAGAATCAAAGAGAAAGCATCAAACCTCAAGTTTGAGCATTTCAAGCCTATTTTCATCCAATTCATTTGCTTTCAAGAACACTTTTGTACTCAATTGTATTTATCTTTGAGTGTTCTTTTCTTTGTTCTAGAATTGTGCAAACATCTTACCTTGTGAGGTTTTCTTATAAGTTTGCAAATTTGTAATCTTCTCTTTGGGAAAAAGAGTGTTCTCAAGAGTTGGGGTATACTCTTGAGGGATTTTGTAAGGTTATCTCTTTGGCCTCAAAAGAAAGAACAAATTAGTGAATTTGTTGGAAAATCCTTAGTGTGGATAGCTAAGGTAGTAGACGTAGACTTTGTTTGAGAAAGTTGAACCACTGTAAATCGCTGTGCAATTACTTTCAATTTTCTGCAAAAGCTTCCACGAAATTTTTAATTGCCAATTCACCCCCCTCTTGGCCGATTCCATCGATCGATTAACTCAACAATTGGTATCAGAGCCTCACTCATTTGAAGGTTTAACCACCTCTTGAGTAGATCCGGGAAGAGTTAAATCGATAAAGATGGCGTCCACTTCCGATTCATTCTCCATGGAAGAATCCAGACCAATTGGCGTGCCTCCACACTTCAATGGAACAAATTATCGTTGTTGGAAGAGGTTCATGATGATGTTTATTCAAGCACATGATATGGAAGCTTGGATGATAATCGAGAACGGATATTCTTTTCCTACGAAGAAGGTAAAGAAGTGGAGTAATCAAGAATGGAATGAAGCTCAACAAAACACAAAGGCTATGCATATGTTGTGTTGTGCAATTGATCCTAATGTATATAAAGGAGTTTCTTCTTGTTCTAGTGCCAAGGAAATGTGGGATAAGCTTGAGGAAATCTATGGAGATAAGGAAAAAGAAGAACCAATAAAAGTGATGTCTCTATTAGCTTTCACAGAGCCAAAGGTATCTTCTAACTCAAATAGATTAAATTCAAAATCTTTTAGTGAGTTACAAGATGCTTATGATGAATTATTTTCGGAGTTTGAGACCATGAACTCCAAATACAATAAATTGATTTCTAAATTTATTACTAAAAATGATCTTATTTTGAAAGCTAAAAAGGACTTGGAAAATAAAAATGAAATGTTGAAAAAGGAGTTAGAGCTTTCAAAAATAAAATCGGAAAACTTTGAAAAAGAAATTTTCAAATTAAACAAACTTCTTCTGGAAACTAAAATGGATTTTGAAAAACAAAATGAAATTTCGAAGAAGAATTTAGAGCTTTCAAAGATAAAATTTGAAAGTATGGAAAAGGAAATTTTCGATTTAGAAGTTAAGCTTGAATGTTTAACAAAAGAAAAAGAGATCATTTTAAATAATTCATCTAGTTCAATAATGACAATATGCTCACATTGTCATTATCATGGTCATAAGGAACATACTTGTCCTTTAAATAAAGGAAAACGATTTAAAATTAGACAAGTATGGGTTCCAAAAGGAAC